AAAGCCATAGCGTCGCGAATACTTCATCAATCAACGTGATTCAAATTGGGAACGGTAGCTGAGATCAAGAGCTACAACATATCCAAGTTTCGCGACATTCCAACGGCTAGTGTTTTGTCGACGTCGTTTCTTGTGAAGACGACTTTTCTGTCCAGAATTTCGGATTTATATTTTGAGTAATTCTAGCTCCTAAGTTCACCTAGACTCTGTCCTTAATCCTAACACTAAAAAGTTGGGTTCGAATGCCGTCACTTTTCACCAAAGAAGAACGCAACTGAGGACGTGCAGGAGGGACGGTAGAACCAGACTTGAGACGGGCGGCGTTACCTTCGTCGAGGGTTTCCATGGGCGTGTCGTCGTCCGCGCCATCGCCCTTGGGTTCGGCTGCGACGGGAGGAGGTCGAGCAGGTGCAGGGGGGGTGCTGGATCACCGGTTTGTCCGCGCTGAAGGGCCGCGAGAAGACCGATTACGTGATGAATTGCGTCATTATTAGCGTTGTCGTTGTTGATGTAACGAGCAAGAATTTGTTCTGCAGATCGGGGCGCTGTAGAAGCAGAGGAGCGCGTTCTAACGGTTTCACCAATTGCAGCACCCGTGAAGATTCGATGGAAATTTCGCTGCTTGGCGGGGTCCAGACGCGCCATCATTTCGGCGAAATTTGCAACTCCATTGGCGATGATGACAGGATTCTGCTGTGCGCGCTTATTCGTCGGGCGAGATTCCAAGTCGGCGTGGGCGTCCGGATTCTGGCGATCGCCACGATCCTGGCGCTCCTGGTCATTTGCGAGCTGGTCAAGATTCTAACATTTCGTTCCTGGCGCGTCTGGTCCCGCCCAGGATTCTGCTCATCATTTCGACCTGCGCGCCTTGGATCGCGATGATCATTGCGATCCTCGTGCGCAGGACCGTCATGATTGCGGCCGAGGGGTGCCGCGCGCAACTGTTCCACAGGTGGCGGGGCGTTTTCTCTTGCCGGGTTCAAGTCGACACGTTCTCGTTCGTCACGCCGCTCGCCGTGAAACCCGGGGAGAAAATCGCGACCATTAGAAGCGTTACGATCTCCGACGGGAGCCAATCCGGGTTGCTGAACGGGGTTTTGCCGAGCGCCATTCAGCAAATCCAATGCAGTAACAGAAGCGTTTTTGTTGCGTGGAGAGGGGGAACGATAACGCTGAGAGGAAGTAGCTTGACTTCCCTTACGCACAGGGTAGCCACGTCGTCCGTTGCTCCTGAGATTCATTCTTGAAACAGGAGGACGACCACTTGCAGCAGAAACCATTCCTCCAGTCATGGTAGAAAAACGTGCGGCAATCACGCCCGCAAGTAGCGTGCTCCTAAGCCCAGGTCTGGGCATAGGAGGGGTTTAGAGTGTGCTGGTGGTGAGCTATCAGAGAAGAGAAATGAGAATGAGACTAGGTGGCAGGTCCATTGGACCTGCGAGAATGTGAATTGTCTCCTTTACAGCAAAACTCCTCTTCAAATCGAATCACAATCTGTAAATTTTTTGTTCCTAAAAATTTATTCATCTTTCCTAAATGGGGTGGGCGTTTTTGCGTTTCCTCCAAATTCAGGTGGAGTGATTTGATATCGGTCTGCGCCAATAGCGCATTTGTCTTCACCAACCTCTCCCCAACCCCCCTGGCTCGTAAGTGACACATTTTCCTCTAATTTTACAGTCTTAGAGCCCGTGGCGTTCCAGGGTAATACTGTCTCCCCTGGACTTTCTGAAAGGTGAACACCGACGAATGTCAGGCCTCGTCCTCCCTCCACTTCTCCAGATACGAGAGTTAGTTGAATGGTTAACATCACATTGACGGCGTTTGCAAGACATTGCTCCCTTATTGCACCTTGTTCTGTCCTACGTTCTATACCGATTGCATTTCAGCGATGGCTCATCTCATCCGCCGGTTAAGGCCACAGACTCGCCTGTTTCTTGGCCTTCAGCGGTCATTCAGCTCGACAGCTGCCGAAACGGGTGAGGAACCGTACAATGCTTGTTTCCGTCACTAACGCGTTTGATCAGCTGAACATAGTTTTGACGATGAATGCGCATGCAGGGGATCCAAACTTTCTGGAGTCCGTCGATATTTATTTCGACAAGGCTGCTGCTATCTGCCATGTGCCAGGCGACATCCTGGGACAGATTAAGGTATCCAGTGCAAAGCAAGGAGCTTGTCCCTGGAATGTGTTACAACGTTTCCTGTATTCTGACTGACCACATTTTTGCGAACGAATCTGTACCCTTTCGAACTTCAACAGGGTTGCAACAATGTTCTCAAGGTTCAGTTCCCACTGAAAATGTCCAATGGCACAGTGGAGCTGATCGAAGGTTACCGTGCACAGCACTCCCATCACAGGCTTCCAGGTTAGCCTTCAAATGTGTCGTTACGGCTTGGAAGGATAAGATGTCCAATGGATAACCGTTTGCTCGCCTTATGCGTGTTGTCCAGGCAAGGGAGGAGTTCGCATGGCCCCCACTGTGGATGCAGATGAAACCGTGGCTCTTGCTGCACTTATGACATTCAAGTGCGCAGTTGTTGATGTTCCGTTTGGTGGAGCAAAGGGAGGAATCAAGATAGGTAAGCCTTCGGAACAGCATCTGAATCCTTCTAGGTGCACGGGAAACTGTAAGGAGGACTAATTCAATTTTGTCTCTTTTTCCCAACTCTGACCACATCCTGATGACATGAAGATCCCAAGAAGTACTCGTCTTTTGAGAAGGAAGCTATCATTCGACGATACACCACGGAGCTTGTGAAGAAGAACTTCATTGGTCCTGCTATTGTAAGCCAACCCACTTGCAAGCGATTGAGCTCTAAGTAATGGTTCTCGCCTATGGAGCCTAACCTGTACTAAACTTGTAATCCAGGACGTTCCGGCGCCCGACTATGGCACAGGGCCACAAGAAATGGCATGGATCAAGGTGAGTAATTGATGGGTTTGCTTATACGATATAATCTGTTTCTGACCACTTGTGTGGCTGAATTTCAGGACACCTATGAGACCCTGAGGCCAGATGATCTCAACTCGTTTGCTTGTGTCACTGGAAAGCCCATCGAAGAGGTTTGTCTACAGAATTTATCCCACACCTTAGGAAAAAATATTAGGAAGCATGTCTCAGATTCTTATTGATGTGAATGCAGGGAGGCATCCGTGGCCGTACTCAGGCTACTGGAATGGGCGTATTCATTTGCCTGCGGGAGTTTCTCAACAGCAAGGTGCAGAATGTCCTATCTTCTAGTGGGTTCATGCTGTATTTTTAGTAAACAATTCTACTATTGTGGTTTTGTATTTTCTTTACAGAACTGGATGACGAAGTTGAACATGTCACCGGGTGTCGAAGGGAAGTCGTTTATTGTTCAAGGTTTTGGAAACGTCGGACGTCATACCATCGATGTATGTCTGATGTCTGTCTCTACCTTTTTTCTTCCCTCGTCTCTTTTGAGCCAATAAAGATCTTCAGAGGTAACCCCCTTTTTTTTTCACAGGCAATTGTCACTGCGAAGGGGAAGATCACAGCTATTGCTGAGTATGACGGAGGCTTGTTGGATGAGACCGGGAACGGCCTTGACATTGAAAGCATCAAGCAGTATCATGCACGGAACGGAACCATCACCGGTTTCCCAGGAGCCAAAACAGTAAGCATCCATCCAGGTTCTCGTCACAATTCTCTCTTGGCCCAGTAATCATCTGTCCAGGGTCGCTTTTTCTGATTACCATGAATTGGTCTTTGCAGGTTTCGGACCCGTTTTCCTTGCTTGAGCTCCCTTGTGATGTCCTCATACCGGCTGCTCTGGAAGGCCAGATTCACTCAGGAAATGCCAGCCGCATCAAGGTGGGAAGCTATGCTGCATCTGCAACTTAGGCTGGACCTGTTGAGTTGGCTCACTTCATGTTTCCATTTGCAAGTACAGGCGAAGGTTGTCGCAGAAGCTGCAAATGGCCCAGTCACTCCTCCAGCAGAGAAGATGATGGAAAGCAACGGAATTGTTGTCCTGCCAGACCTTCTGCTGAATGCGGTAACTATCACGTCCTCATTTAGCCACATCTCTCTGCCCTTTCCTTGTCTTCTTTTGCCCTGTTTTAGACATTGCGTTTGAGAGATTCATGGGGAATTCTTGATATGACTGCAGGGTGGTGTGACAGTCTCCTACTTTGAGTGGCTAAAGAACATCAACCACATTCGGTTCGGAAGGATGAGCCGACGAATGGAAGAGAGGGGCAAACAGGTGAAGTCCACCGACTCTTACCAAGCTTTTATGTTAAACCTGTGATTGCCTGTTGTCAGGCACCTGGATTTTCATTGTACTGAGGCCTGCTCTGTTCTCCATTTCAGGCATTACTTGATGCTTTGGAAAAGGAAATTGCAACCGGTATTAAGTTCACTGATGACACACGCCGTTCGATCATTAAAGGGTATGTTTTTCCTCTAAGCCTCGCTCCTGTGGTCCTTTCCATTTAGTTCCCGAAATTTTCCTCTGCTTGTTTCCCATTTAGGTATACCACAATTTGAGGTTTGTATAATCTTCACCTCACCACTTCTGCAGCAACACTGAGGAGGATTTCGTGTGGTCTGGCCTTGAGGAGACAATGATCAATGCCTGGGACGAAGTCAAGCGAGTAGCTGAAGAAAGGGTGAGTTTTTTACCAATTAGTCCTTTTATGTCTCATTCAGCATGCAACTCATTGTGACTCTTAGCATTTTCAGGAATGCAACTTCCGCACAGCATCCTATGTGATTGCGATTGAGAAGATCGCCACGTGTTACCGCGTCAGTGGAATCTTCCCATGACCTGCTTGACCAATGACCAGCCTTCTATCATGGGAACTAGCATCATCCTTCTGATCTGAGACAATACGACCAACCAGCACTATTATTATGGATATAGTATTGTTTATCCAGTGTAGTGCATCAGGAAGCCATTATGCTCAAGATGCTGCAGCTTTTGGCAACCACAAGAACAACATTAAAAAACATTCATATACAGCAAAAACATGAACCTAAAATGTAAAAGTGCTAATGACAGCTAAGTTTGCGGGTCTGATTCAAAGTAAGCCTAAAGCCAGTGACGGCTCTCGCATCAGACCTCCTGGCAAGGGAGAAAGTTCCGAGGCGACTGAAGGCTCGGAGGAAACAGAAGCTTGAGAGGAGAGAGAGGGCTCACTATCGAGGGTTCTCCCAGAAAAGAAGCTGGATGATGAATGCGGTGAGAGGAGACGGGGAGGAGGGAGTGTGGGAGATTGTGGAGCACCTGCTGTATCCCGAATCCATTCATGTGCTGCAGCATGGGGGGGGGGGAAGGGGGAGGGGGGGGGGGGGGTGTTGGGGGGGGGGGTTGGGGAAGGGGGGGGGGGGGGTTGGGGGAGGGGGGGACCCGTGTTGTAAAGAGATTTCTGAATATTGCTACAGCAGATGCACACATGAAGACGAGATTCCCCTAATGTGCATGTAACAGAGCCTATACGTTCCTGCATGACTGAGGGTTACAATCAACAATTGCATGCACCATCACTCACCTAGTGCCTGGCTTGTTGTGATCCGTCTAGTGGGGTCTTTCACCAGCATGGCTTGGAGCAGCTCTTTGGCGCCCTCAGACACATGCTTCCAGCGCGCAGATGTGAAGCGAGGGGCTTTGGTGCGGATGGCACTGTAAATGGCCTCATTTGAAGCGGCCCAAAAGGGGGGAAGTCCGGACAACAATGCATAGACTAGAACCCCTGTGCTCCAGACGTCAGCTGGAGGGCCCCAGATGCCGTCCAGAGTCTCTGGGGCGAGATAGAGGGGTGTGCCGTACAGCTTGCACGAGGCAGCATCTGAAACAAATGATTGAAAGAGGGGAATGCATTGAGTCAGGGTGGAAGGAGAAAGTATAACTGAAGAGCAGTTGATGCGAAGTCCATCAGCAAGTGCATAGACAGCATTTCCTTGTATCCAGGAATCTACATCCCAAATGCCCTTAAACAGCACAGAACATGACCAAAATGCTGACTGCAACCGTTAGCTAAGCTGCAAAACTCAAGCACACTTCACCCCTTAGCCATTGCTAGGTGACAGCAGCTTTTACTCCCCTTTCCCTTTACCCTTGCTTACCCACATTTCCCCCCTAAGAAATTTATGAAACGTAAAAACACCCTCCCCCCCCCCCAACCAGCCCCCTCAAACTTCCCCCCCTCTCCCCCGATCCTCCTCCGCCCCTCCCCTTCCCTCTAAACCCCACTGACCAGGCTCAACGTCTGTGGAGATCCCAAAGTCAACCAGCTTGATCTGGCTGACGCTGCCCGGCATGAGCAGCAGCACGTTCTCGGGCTTCACATCGCGGTGCAGCACGCCGCACGTGTGGCAGTGGTGCAGCGCCTGCAGCAGCTGCCGGCACACTGGGGCTGCCATGGACTCGGGCAGGCGGCCGTACTGCCGCATGAAGTCAAAGAGATCGCCGCCCCGACACAACTCCATCACCAGGAAGATGCTCTGTGGGGAGGGGGGAGAGGGGTAGTTCGAGGGAGAAAAGGAAGAGAAAGGAAAGGGGGGGGGGGGGGGGGGGGGGGGGGGGTTGGGAGAGGGGGTGTGAAAAAAAAAGACGTTGCAGCTGACAAACACAAGGGCAGAAGCAGGAGAAGAGAGGGAGAGGGACGCTGGTAGCGGCTGGCAGGCACATGGTTAATGGCACATTGGTCTCCATTAATGGCGTGGCATAGCATCTCAACCCGTCGTCCTCACGTGCAGCATGCAGGCGAACTACATTGGGCGGCCCCAATATCACCTCCTCCTTGGCCACATGAGGGTGGACTCAACACATGGCATGACATGGCGCAACATGACCGGCACCACATTACCGGCACAACATGACCGGCACAACATGACCGGCACCACATGACCGGCACCACATGACCGGCACCACATGACCGGCACAACATGGCACGCCGCAGTATGGCACAGCATCTCTCACCTTATCATCTTCACATGCGGCATGCAGGCGCACCACATTGGGATGCCCTGACACCACCTCCATGGCCGCCACCTCCCGCCTCAGGTTGCGCGCCTCGTCGGTGGACTGCAGGTTGCCGGGGAGGGAAGGCGAGAGAATGGAGAGAAGGGAGGGCGAGAGCATGGGGGAAGGGAGGGCGAGAGCATGGGGGAAGGGAGGGCGAGAGCATGGGGGAAGGGAGGGCGAGAGCATGGGGGAAGGGAGGGCGAGAGCATGGGGGAAGGGAGGGCGAGAGCATGGGGGAAGGAGGGGCCGGGAAAGAGAGGAAGGGACTCCCGCATACCACCACCTCCACGGCCGCCACCTCTCGCCTCAGGTTGCGCGTCAGGGGACTGCAGGTTGCAGAGGAGGGAAGGAGAAGGGAGCGCGAGAGGATGGGAGGGGGAAGTGGGGGGGGGGGAGAGGGGGATGGATGTTATGGAGGGGAAAAAAGAGGATGGAGGGGAAGTGATAGAGGATAGAGGGGAAGTGATAGAGGATAGAGGGGAAGTGATAGCGGATAGAGGGGAAGTGATAGAGGATGGCGGGGAGGGAGGAGAGCGGATGGAGGGGAGGGAGGAGAGTGTTTGAAAAAGGAGCAATTGGCAAGCAGCGGGCGAAGAATGTGACAGGCGGCTGCAGGCAGACCGAATGGCAAACATGTCAACTCACCCGGCTGGCTGCTCCTCCAAACTAACCAGGCTGCCCCACCGGCTTGCTCTGCTGGACGCACCTGGATGCTGCGCTTGTCAATCATCTTGCAGGCAAGCGTCTCCCCACTCTCCCGTTCCACGCACACGCGCACCGCCCCAAACTCCCCCCGTGCCAGCACCTCCCCCTCCATCTCAAACCGCTCCTCCACGTCAGCATATGGGCGGCCCAGGATAAACGCCCTGAACACGTCAGCATCTGCAGGTGCTGAGTCAGCAGCGCTGGAAGTGGACCCTGATGCCATGTCAGCGTGTTCCACGCCCCCATACCTCCTCCCAACAGCACAAGCTCCTGTTGAGGCCACCCCTGCCTTCGCCCCATGCCCCATCTCCCCCTGTCTCACGCCCCCCCTGTCAGCTGTACCTTCCCTAGAAACAGCCTTCCCAGGTGGCAGCCTCCCTGCCCCTATACCCTCTCCAAAGCCTCCCTGCAGTTCGCCTCGTCCCGCCCCTCTGATCCCCTGCTGCTGCCCCCCCTGCATCCGGCCCATGCTTCCGCCTCTCCCCTGCCCCCTCCCCTGCCCTGTGCCCCGCCCAATGCCCTGCCCTCGTGCCTGTCCCTCACTGCCGCTGCTACCGCTGCCACTGCTGCTGCTCTGCACAGGACGTACCCCCCCTCCCCCGCTGCCCATCCCACCACCAGACGGCCTTGTCCCAGAGCTCCTCTCCCCACCAGCCCCGCTCACCCTACGCCAACTCCCCTCCCGCCCCCCCTCCTCCCCCTCCTCCCCCTCCCCCTCCGCCTCCTCGTCCTCCTCGTCCTCATGCTGCACGCAGAGGCGATCGAACTCGCCCACGCCGCCGCGCCCAGTGGAAGCAGAGTGGGGGAACAGCGGCATGGGGAACGGCGCCATCCGATTCGCCCGAGCCAGGGGATTCACTGCCGCGTCCAGCCGCCCGCGGTCCGGCGTCGTCGGCCGCCCGCCAGATGGCGTAGTGGGACGGGCGCCGGGCGGTGTGGTTGGGCGGCCGCCCAGGGGCGTTGACGGGCGGTCGAGCAGGACCGTTTGATCGACCCCAGCTATCCTACCAGCGGGCGTTGAGGGCCGTTCGATCCCTGCAAATTCCCCTCCTGACGTTCCTCCTCCTGCCCCCCCCTCTCCCCCCATGGCCGCCCGCCTCCCCCCAGGAGTGAGTGGTCGGTCCATGGACCCATCAGCGCGCCTCACAGGAGTGGTGGGCCGCTGCACTGCCGCTGCGCCAACCCACGCTGCCCCTCCCCCTCCCCCTCCCCTCTCCACAAACGACTTGGGCCTGACTTTACCGCGGAAGCTGGACCGGTCCGCCCGGCTGCCGGGCTGCACTCGGCTCACTGCCGTGTGCGGGCGCCCTGCAGGCCCTGCCCGCTCTACGTCCACATCTAGGCGCTCTGCTGCCCCCAATCGCCCCCCTGCCACGCCCACGTCGTGCATGTGCGCGGGGGGGGCTGCCTCCATCCCGTGGAGCGGAGTGGTCGGCCGCTCCAGCCGCTCCTGTGGCTCCTCCCCCCGCACCCCCCCTGCCGCCCCATCCTGCCGCCTCGTGGGCGTCTTCGGCCTCTCCAGAGCCCCCTCCCGTCGCCCTGCCGCCCCCTCCGCCCATGCCGCCGCCCCCCCTGCGTGCCCTCTTTCCCCGTCCTGCCGCCTCGTGGGCGTCCTTGGGCGCTCGAGCCCCGCCTCGGCGCGCAGCAGAGGCGTGGTGGGGCGCTGCCCAGCCAGCGGCGTGGACGGCCGCTCCAGCACCCGCGGGGTCAGCGGCTGCTGCAGTGGGCCGGCTGCTGCCACTCCCCCTCCTGCTGCTGCGGCGGCCGCTCTAGCCCTCTCCGCGTCGTGCATGTCCATGCGCGACGGCGTCTTGGGGCGGTCTAGCACCACACCCACGCCAACAGCGGCAGCAACGCCAGCAGCGCTGCTCGCAGCAGACATGTCTCGCCTCGGGGGCGTCGTGGGCCGCTCCCTCGGCGCTGCAAACCCGCCCACCCTTACCCCGCCCCCTACATCCCCTGCGCTCGGCCCTGCGCCATGCGCGCCTGCGCGGCCAAGCCGTGGGCTGTCTTCATCGGCTTCTCCCTGCATCGCCCCCCGCCCCACTCTCGTCCTCGGCCTCTCCGCTCCTACTGCTCCTACTCCTGCCACAACCCCATCACTATCACCCCCTCCGGCACCCCCACCACCCCCGGCGTCAGCACTGCCAGGGTGTCCCCGGCCCCGCAGCTTCAGCGCCGCCCTCTCAGCCACGGCGCGCGTGCTCGCGTTCGACGGCCCCTCCCCCGGCCGCACCTGCGGCGCGCTCGCGCTCTTCCTCAGGGCGCGAGACGCCACCGCGCCCGCCACAGTGCGCAGGCCGCCAGCGCCGCCGGGGGGAACGGCGGCTGTAGCACTGCTTGCGCCATCCGCAGCAGCAGCCACGGCGGCGGCGGAGGCAGCTGCGGTAATCCTGATCGGCGCGCCTGCTGCTCCCCTTCCCCCGCCAGCGAACCCCTCCGCCGCCAGCGGGGCTTTCCCCGACGTCATCGGGCGGGCGCGCGCTTGCCCTTGCGCTTGTTCCCCAGCTCTCCTCGCGGGGGGAAGACCTGGCGGGGGAGCTGCACCAGCGGAGGAACTGGAGGAAAGGGGGGAAGGGAGCGGAGGCGTGTGTGCGGAGGAGTGTCTGACTGAGTCTAGCTTCCGCACGGGCTGCGAGGCGGAACGCGCAAACTCGCGTCCCCCCGTGGCTGCTGCTCCGCCAGAAGGGCTGATCACTCCCGGCCTACCGCGCCCAGGCGGAAGCCGGCTTGGACTGGCGGAAGCAGAGCGCGAGGAAAGGGGGGAATGGGGGAGCGCGCGGGCGCCGGAAAGAGGGGATCCGCCGCCGTTTCCCGCATAATCGGGCCATGACGCGCCGCCGCTATCGGACCTAACGTCGTCTAAACTAAGCGAATCTCCACCGTCAGATCTGCTGTCCACGTCGGATGATCTGGCGGGGGGAGGGCGCCCGCGGGAAGTCGGGGCGCGCGCGGAAGTCTCCGCAGGAATCCCGCTGGAGGCGGAAACGCTCCGCGGAAATGCATGGCGTGCGGCGGAAACTCTCGACACCGCAGAGGCGACCGGCCCGCCGGCCGAACCCGACAAACCGGGGAACTCAAACCCGTCCGGCTCGTCACCGAGGCTCGATTCAGGTTCGGAATCCGAACCTAATCTCAGATTCTCGTGGCTTATCGAGCCTCGCAAGACGGAACCGCCTGTAGCAGGAGGACTTCGGGGCGGTACGGAAGGGTGCGAGGGAGTGAAGGGCTGCAGCCGTGCATGCGATTGGGCCCGTGGTGTCGTGCTGTGAGACGTGTCGGAACTCGATTGGCTATGCGGTCTCGCCTTCTCGGATTTCGACGTAGGAAACGGCCGCGATAGCGGGCGATCCGCGCCGCGATCGGGCCTGGGTGCGGACGGGGGATGGGCTCTAGGCGCGGTCTCCATTGGCGGTTACGCGATGATGACACGCGGCAAGTGCAGCATCCTGCAGGGATGGAAGGCGGAGAGTCCAGTCTGGTAGGCCTTGGGGATGGCGGGCCGATGGGAACATGGGATGTGAAGGAGACTGTACGCGTTGAAGATGGGGTGCCATGGCCACTTTGATGTGGCGATATCGGCGAATAAGCTATCATAAAAGGTGGTGACATATGGGGTGATCTAGGCACATAAATTTTATACGTTTACAAAACTGCATTGTCTAATGGTTGTATATGCATCATTCATAACAGAAATAGTTTGTTTTTGTATTGATCACCTTTGCGTGAGGAGTTGTGAAAATTTACTCGAATATATCTCCTAACGTTCCTTACAACTATCTAGCTCTACTTTACAAAATGTTTATTCTAGCGCATATATCCTTCCTCAACTCTCCTGCACTCGAGGCGTGTACTTAATACAAACAAATTACGGGGGTTCTGAGTGGAGAAAGTGAGTGGCTCTTAGATCATGACTCCCCACTTTACAACTTGGAGGGCATTACCTAGGATCTTTGACTTCTTGACTTCATACTAGCACTTAACGAAAGATTTTATTCTACGATACACGCCCTTGAACTGTCAATGCGGATTGCTTTTGCGCGACGTGTCCGCTCATACATCACAGGATTTGTTTTCCTCTACGTTTTATTGACTTCCACGATGGCAACAACGGACTCTCTAGAGCCTCGCGTAAACCGTCCGAATTCAACGCTGCACGAGCAGCGTTCTATGCGCGCTCAACGTGCTTTCCTCGTCAAGATTCACCCGCCATCCCACAAAACCGAGTTCCTTTGTGCGCGGAGAGTGTTACCGTTGCTCGTTCGTAGGCGGGACAATGATGGCTCAGCGTATCGCGCATACGTTGACCGGGTCGCTTGATGGCCGCGCACGCGTCGCGCTGTTATCAACAAGCAGCACGCCTGAATGCTGCTCAACGCGTTGCAACCAAGTTCTCGCTTCCTCTTCGCGAACCAGACACGTGGCGGCCACAGATTCGCGGACTCTCCGAAGCGCCTCACCTCCTCCTCTTCGACTTTCCGCTCCGCCGTGTTGCGCGCGGCTATCCGCCGTTGCGGCGCCGCGCGCACAGCCTGGCCCGGGGAACTCTCTCTGCGAACCCCCGCAATCCCGGCGCTTCGAGGCGGGGGTAGGAATCGGAGGTGCGAGTAGCGGACCACCACTGCGCACGACTAAAGAGCTTCCTCGTTCGCAGTCGCATTCGCATTCGTGTTCGCATTCCCCCGGGCATCGCTTGCGCTGCTCCGCCATTCCCCCGGACGCCGCAGATATCGCCGCAACCGCCGCCGCCGCTCTTGCCGGCCAGATTGGCCCCGCCGCTGATGCCGTTGGTGCGGCTGCGAGCCTAGGCGCGCCTGCTGCTGCTTCCGCGGCTGTGGGAGGAGGGAGGTCGGAGGTGACGTGGCAAGTTGTGGTTGGTGCGATTGGTACGTACAGTGCGCAGACTGATTCAGTTTAACACGTCTAAGGAGTCAAACAAATGTTTTTGAAATCGTCTCGTTGGGTCCAATGGCCACACAAGTGCTCCAATGGCTGTCGAAAGCGTCTCAACAGTTCCAACTCCAACGCCTCACCTCGCCATCTCATCTCCCCAACCACTGTGCCATTCCTCTGACCCCGCCCCCATGGACGAATCACCATGTGCCAGCTGGCGTTATCCCATTCATCGTGGCGTCCATTGAATTCGGCAAGCGCATTGTGAGTGCGGCTCCATCCCTGTTGTCCGCCTTCGTGGCTCAGTAGCCGCCAGTTATCGTCCACGGCCGATCATCCATCGCTCATCGTTCACTGCTCATCGGCTGCTGCTTATCGTTCCAAACGGTTTGTGCGTGGTGCTTGGTGCTTGGCGCTTTCCATCTCGCTCCTTCAGAGCTCGCCCCTCCTTTTGTTGCCCCTTCAACAAACTCCAAGGTTTTCTTTATCTCAACTAAGTAAAAGCCCGTGTTCAATTCCACACAGGCATTTGTGACCTGTTCATTTTGCGTCATGCGTGACTGCATCAACGCACCGCTCGCCTCTTTCCTCCCCCCGCCATTTGCCTCGCTCCCCGTCACAGCCTCCCTCGTCTTGCTGTACTAAGCCACGGCAAGCCTGCAGCCAGGGGCACATGAGCTGGTCCCCAGGGGCCAAGCGTCTCTCACGGCCCTCGCGGCCTTGCCCTCTTCTGCTCCCTCATCTCGCTTTTATCCCCTCTTCCTCCCGTTGCTCCCTCATCTCGCTTTTATCCCCTCCTCCCGTTGCTCCCTCCCGCCCTTCCTCCCCCTCTTCTCTCCCCTCTCTCCCCCACCCCATCCCATCCGCCCTCGTCCCCGCGCTGCCATCACGCCTCCCCCCAGGCGGCGCAGCAGCGCTGTGAGCAGTGCCAGGGCTCCGGGCTGCAGCTGGTGGGGCGCTACTACCGCCGCTGCTCGGCTTGCGGTGAGTGCTGGGTGCTGAAACAGCATGTGCGGCGAGTGTGAGTGAAGGACATGGCGTGTGATTCGAAGACGACCCATAACTCGTCTAATGCTGCGAGCAGCGCCACGGCTCGGGGCTGCAGCTGGTGGGGCGGTTTTACTGCCGCTGCCCTGCTTGCGGTGAGGTTTGTGAGCTGAGATCCGTGGTATTTCGGATTCCTGAGCTTTGTGAGCTGAGATGCAAGGCGCGGTGAGTGCGAGAGAGGGACAGCGTGTGCCGCTGCGAGCTGTGCCAGGGCTCAGGGCTGCAGAGAGTCTGGCCCCGCTGCCACCGCTGCCACCGCTGCTCCAAGGGTGGTGAGTGTGAGCCTGTGAGGGCCATGGCATGTGGTGAGTGGGAGGGCCATGGCATGTGGTGAGTGGGAGGGCCATGGCATGTGGTGAGTGGGAGGGCCATGGCATGTGGTGAGTGGGAGGGCCATGGCATGTGGTGAGTGGGAGGGCCATGGCATGTGGTGAGTGGGAGGGCCATGGCATGTGGTGAGTGGGAGGGCCATGGCATGTGGTGAGTGGGAGGGCCATGGCATGTGGTGAGTGGGAGGGCCATGGCATGTGGTGAGTGGGAGGGCCATGGCATGTGGTGAGTGGGAGGGCCATGGCATGTGGTGAGTGGGAGGGCCATGGCATGTGGTGAGTGGGAGGGCCATGGCATGTGGTGAGTGGGAGGGCCATGGCATGTGGTGAGTGGGAGGGCCATGGCATGTGGTGAGTGGGAGGGCCATGGCATGTGGTGAGTGGGAGGGCCATGGCATGTGGTGAGTGGGAGGGCCATGGCATGTGGTGAGTGGGAGGGCCATGGCATGTGGTGAGTGGGAGGGCCATGGCATGTGGTGAGTGGGAGGGCCATGGCATGTGGTGAGTGGGAGGGCCATGGCATGTGGTGAGTGGGAGGGCCATGGCATGTGGTGAGTGGGAGGGCCATGGCATGTGGTGAGTGGGAGGGCCATGGCATGTGGTGAGTGCTGGCGCAATCCTGAGACGCCTCAACGTCACCGACGCCACCACCTCCCCGCGTTGGGAGCACCAACAGGAGGCTCCGCCGAGGGAGTTTGTCTGCCCCTCACCCACTCTGTGTGTGTCTGGCTGGTAACTATTGCGCGTGTGTGCACGCCAGCATGGGCGCACTATATCATTGTTTGCCAGCAACACTGGTAGCTCATCACTTGACCTCCTTTTCCGTTCCTCGGTGCTGATGAGTCGTGCAGGTGGGTTCCTGCCCTGGCAATCCTGGCGCCGATTCTTCCTCGGATGAATGTCACGCTTGCAACTACTCATTGTGTTGGCCATTGGTGGTACTGGCGGTGTCTTTCAAGCCTGCTGAGCCCTTCGTACAGTTATGGGGAGCACGCTTGCTGCAGTTAGTTGGGTTGATATTGTTAAATTATATATGTTAGTATAGAATTGTAGGCTTGGTAGTGGTTACTGAACATTACTGTAGAGGGTACAACACCCCTCCTTGTATCCCTCTCTCTTCTTTCCTATTCTTTTCTCCCACCAACTTTCCTACCCTAAAACCTCACGCCATTTCCATGGCTCCTCCTACCTACGTAGATCCTAGTTTTAAGACATGGTAACAGAGCCGGTTCCCTTCCCGGGCCTGCTCCCCTTGTCAAACATGTGTAGTTATCATGTTTGTATAGACTGTATAGGGTCACCTTCTAGAGAGTACAACATTTAGGTATATGTTTGTGTACTCTCTCTCTCACATCATTCAATTCTAATTCTGATATGGTATCACGCGTAGGTAGGATCCCCCCCCACCTCCCGCTTCCGCTCATGCCCCCTAGCGCCCCTCCTGGGCCCCGTCGCGCTCCTCCCAGGCCCCCTAGCGCCCCTCCTGGGCCCCGTCGCGCTCCTCCCAGGCCCCGTAGCGCCCCGTCGCGCCCCTCCTGGGCCCCGTAGCGCCCCTCCTGGGCCTCGTCGCGCCCCTCCTGGGCTTCGTAGCGCCCCTCCTGGGCCCTGTAACGCCCCTCCCAGGCCCCGTCGCGCTCCTCCCAGGCCCCCTAGCGCCCCTCCCAGGCCCCGTCACGCTCCTCCCAGGCCCCCTAGCGCTCCTCCTGGGCCCCGCCGCGCTCCACCCAGGCCCCGTCGCGCCCCTCCTGGGCTCCGTAGCGCCCCTACTGGGACCCGTCGCGCCCTCCCTGGGCCCTGTAGCGCCCCTCCTGGGCCCCGTCGTGCCCCTCCCAGGCCCCGTCGCGCCCCTCCTAGGCCCGTAGTGCCCCTCCTGGGCCGGTAGCGCCCCTCCTGGGCCCCCATTGCGCCCCTCCCTGGGCCCCGTATCCACCCTCCTGGGCCCCGTCGCGACCGTCCCTAGGCCCGTCGCGCCCCTTCCTGGGCCTCGTCGCGCCCCTCCTGGGCCCCCCCCCCATTGCGCCCCTCCTGGGCCTCGCCGCGCCCCTCCTGGGCCCCCCCATTGCGCCCCTCCTGGGCCCGTAGCGCCCCTCCTGGGCCTGTTGCGCCCCTCCTGGGCCCTGCCGCGCTCCTCCCTGGGCCCCGTATCCACCCTCCTGGGCCCCGTCGCCCCTGCTCGGCCCCGTCGCCCCTGCTCGGCCCCGTCGCCCCAGCT